ACAACTTTTACATGCTGAGTGTAAATTACTTTGAGAAATAATAACCATTTTATTTTAAATAATTATTAAACAACTAATTGTCCAGAAGTTTTAAACTATTTTTATTTATATATAAACTGTCCTTATTAAAGTTTACTTAAGGAGGCTAGGGCGTCAACAAATTAACCATCAGATTTAATTTTTTTTAGATACGGTATCTTAAGCTGTCAACTATCATTTCGGAAAGAAATAATTCATACATTTAGTTTTAAAATTTGATCATTTTTGTATATCTTTATATGGATCTCTTCTTTTAAAGGAGATCGAAATAGTCTGAAAATGGCTGCCACCCCCTAACCTCTTTAACGACAACTGTAAATTACCTTTAAGAAAATTAAGACGCTACTGATCCCACATTTTAAAACTTCATACAAGTTAGATAATACACTGTATCAATGAATAATTTCACTCATATTTTGTAAAGATACAATGTTTGAGAGGGTCCTCTTTCTGATTAGTACTTTATACATCGGTTATGTTCTTTCATCAGAGAACTTTTCAGTTGCACCTTATTGCACTGTGTTTAATTGTGATATGTGGACTCCGTGTACAGGTGCATGTGGTTCACAGCAGCAGTACAGATTCCGAAATATGTTGCTCTGTTAGCGTAAAACCTCGTAATCTTAACACTTGTTTAATTCATATAATAGAAGCTTGAATTTTCCGATGAAAATGAGTCAATTATGTCGGACATGTAAAATGTTTCACTTTTTTCGTGTAGCTGTTATCTGCATCACGATGGCGCTTGTTGTCGAGGTAAGAAAGTAGTAATCTTACGTTAATATTATTAGATGGAAATCTTTAAGAAAAAACCTATAACTTATACTTAGTGTCTTCGAGTTCTATAAAAAGGTCGTTTATCTTTAAAAATGATACATTTTCAATTCCAACTCATAAATACAAAGATTTAAAATGTCCTCAGTGGGGGATATTACATCTTGCAAAATATTTAGTACTATTGTAGATAGGACAAAGAATACTATCAATTTGTTATTGAAGTATTTGTAAAACGAATTTTTTTTCATATATGTGAAATGAATTATGTTGATCCCCTATATGTTAATACTTTTTCCATTCAAAGTATCACACATATAGGATTTTTAGTAACAAAAAGTTGTAGAGATCAATAAGGAAGGTTGTTGAGATGCAGCTTGGTGAACATCAAAGAAAATTTACAATTTATCAAAATTTTAGAAATATATTTAATTTAAAAGCATAGAAATATTTAAAATTTTAATATCTGTACAAGTTCCCCCTTTCTAAAATCTCAAGAGCTTAACTGGAATAAATTAATAACAAGAATAAATTTTAAGCCTCCCAGAAACTATGCATTTTTATACCTTTTCAATCGCGATTTCAAGAGTAATAAAATGTCTTTGTGGGTCATTTGAAATGCTCGAGATAAACCTATTTATCTAGATCATTGTATAAATATGTAACTTGTTGTTTTGGTCGTCCATATGGTAAAGAGTTTACTTTTATTGATCTATACGCCGAGAGTTAGAATCCCCCTGCACGACGTGGAAACCGGTTGTATAAACCAAGGTCCAGTTTTGCAGAAGTTGCTTGCACCAAAATGATCCCCCATTTCTCCATTGTCCTGAGTGCTGAATATAGACCTAAAACTTACAGCTTTTACTGGCTAGTTGAAGGGATCCTAAGCACAAACACACACAAAATCTGCTTTTTTCGTTAGGTTTTTTATTAATATAGTCACATATGCAAATGGTTTTGTAAATCTATTAACTTATTTAATTCGCAAGATCATGCTGTGCGTGCAATCGATTTGTAAACCAAAACTGGATACATACAGATATGTTAATGTTCAATGATTCATCTGCCTCGTGAGTACTGGTCAATGATTATTTTTTAAACTTCGAGGTCTTTTTTATGATTCTGGTAGGAAATATCAAGTATCAATTAAAAACATCTTAACTGACATATATCATACCAACTGTTACGCCTTATTTTTACATTAAATTTATCTTCAGAATACTCCTCGTCACTAGGATGGAGGCTCACGGCGAATTTGTCCATACTCCACCTTTGTACATGATCCCACCCTTGGAATGTCTGTTAATGCCCTGTATTACCGACTTATTACTCTTTTGATAAACAAAAAAAAAAATACCGAGCAGAACATGATGAGTCTCATTATTCAATATTTTTGATGTTTTAATTTTTATTATTTTTATTTCAGTGACTCTACGTTGTATATATTAAAACTTATCCAATATAAAATTTTAGTAAGCAATAGGTTAACATGTGCCTCAAATATCATTTTTTATTTTCATTGTTTAGTTGATTGTACGTTGGTTTACGTCTGTAGTTTTATGAAAATTCTTAAGATTCTTTTGCACATTTAAAAATTTAATCAAATATAAAGGAAAACAAAAACAAAATGATATCTTCTTGAGAATATAACTTATTTATTCAGTGTATTTACAACTACACAAGACACACTTGGTGGGTGAAACCGGTCATCAGGGAACGCTCACTCCTTAATGGCACCTGATTCTTTCTCTGATGGATACGAGGTCTGTGCTTGTTCCGCTGCAGTTGGAAAATTAACTGTAGTCAGTGAATAATTCGATAATTTCGTAAATAAAAGGATGTCATAAACATAATTGAATATAAAATAGATTAAAATTCATTGCGAAGCAACGAGTAGATCTATCATCGGGCTTTTGAAAGTGATGTATAAAGCCCTTTACCCGAACGATATCAATATCGAGGCAAATTCATGAAAATCACACCATAGAATCATTTTTTTTTTTTTTGTCTTCTTTATGTTTCAATTGGAACTTTTTCGGCATTGGTTTCTCGTTCAGTTGTGTCAAATGTCAAAAAAAAACAGGGAATTTTTTTAATCAAAACTCAATTTCAAATCATTTTTATACTTTATCAAATGATTTAAGAAAAAAGACTTTATTTCTCCACTGTTCCTGGTGTAAAGCGAAAAATCAGTAACTTTAATTGTCTTTATTTAGAACTTTTAAATTAATCCCCAAAAAGTCCATGATTCAATCGTAAGTTCTTTATAAGAAAATGCCTAGAGAAAATAACATTTAAAAATTGGACGGAGTGATTTTTTAAAAAAAACAAAAATAAAAATGATCTGAAATTATAAAAATGCTACATGTATCCCGAGAAAGATAATTGAATATGACCGGCTGTTTTCCGAAAAAAAGGGAGTAATGTCAATAATATGGTCAGTAATAGGGAAAACGAAAAAAAAAAACAGGAAAATCTCTGTAATGAAGTTGGAAAACCTTAATAAAACATTTACTAGTATAATATTCAACTATCAAGACATAATTCGCTTTAAGGGAAGTTGTTGACCTGCAGGCATGTTCATGAAACTTTCCTAAGATTTGTCCTAAGATTATTCCTAAGATATGGTTTAGGAAGAAATTTAGGAACATCCTAAGATCAACTTAGGACATATCATAAGATGTATCTCGACGGTGACTTAGGAAGATCTTAAGTTAGGACATCCTAACTTACAATGAACACTTGTTTCCTATACATTTATCGATAAATATAAAATTTTGGAGACATTTACAGCAAAGAAAAAAGATACATAACATTAAAAAGAAAATCCATTTACATGTACATGTAACCTCAGTATATTTTGAAGTTTGCATATTTTGAATTATAAGATATTTAGTACAGCTTGTAAATCGTATTGAAACAAACAAATTACAGTTAAGATTTATAGTTTAAAAATATTATTAACCTCTCATTGATCTACCAAGATGATCCTTATGATATAAAGCATAGGCGTCGAAACCGGGGGGGGGGGGGGGTCTAGGGGGGCTTACACCACCCCACCCCCACACTTTTTTGCAAAGATATACATAATATAGGCCTTTTGGTAACATTTCTTTTTTACTCCCAACCGGTTAATTCTGAAATTAGAACATGTCAATAATTACATTGTCTCCTAATTCCACGTAATTGCTAGGGAATCGCGGAAGGTTGGGTGGTCCCTCGTTTTTTAAGGTAGGTTTATTACCATTAATCTATGATAGAAGTTATGATAAATGGTCGGTCTATCCCCGCCTTCCCTTTTAATTAACGAATAACTCCGACCCCCCCCCCCTCCCCAACGCCCCAACACACATATGTGTATTAAATATGTTTTTGTAAATAGAAAAAAAAAATTATGTCAAGTTTTTTCCCCGAAAATTTTAGTTTTTGGCTTCTTGATAAGGGGGAAAATTTCAATATTATCTCTCAATTTAAACTATCGAAAATTGTAACATATGTTGCAAAGAAGAGGTCTTTTGGTAACATTTCTTTTTTAATTATTTTTGTAAATCAACAGCTCATATACGGACTGCTTAGAAACAAGAAATTGTCGCTAATACTTGCAATGTTCAAAATCAAAAGCATCACAACAAACTTAGGATGATCTTAGGACAAGTTTTATGTTGTCCTAAAGTTAGGAAAAACTTATGCAAGTTCCTAAATTTAGGAAAGCTTCGAGAAACTGACTTAAGACTAGGACATTTCCTAAGACGCTCTTAGGAGACACCGTAGTCCTAAGATAGCTTCATGAACATGCCTGCAGGTTCAGTGTACTTTAGCGACGGATATCAAAACCCTTCTGCTTAATTTTCACTATCAATTGTCCTTTTAGACCAGATGATCTTTTAATTCATGTTATCACAATGTGTCCTATTGAACTTTGTCGGATTTACAATATTGATCATGACACTGAATTTTCATTTTACGTTAGCAAGGAATCCAATTTTGGAATCAGTATTCGGATGTCTATGATGGACAAATAGCATAAGAATTGTGCTGGCTTAGTATATTCCATTTGCAAAATTAGGAACCTTCAAAGTGCGAATGAGCATGTAAAAACCATACTTAAACCTTAACCTTAACAAGTCTTTACATAAGAGGGATTGATTGGAATTGATTTCTTTTATCAGTTGACTAACTATATTACAGTGCACGTTATATGTGATTTTCAGAGGTTAATATGAAATCCTTTAAGGTGTTGTTGCTGATTTGTACCTTATTCACCGATCAAGTTTTCTCATTTGAAGACTGTATAGTTGAACCGGATTGCAATTTGTTTGACTGGCTACCCTGGACTAAATGCACTGGTAACTGTGGTGCCCAATCTCAGTACAGGATCCGGCATATGTGCTGTTCCCAGGATGTAAAACCACATACTTTGGAAAACTGTTTGGTATATTGTAATAGAAGTATAACTTTTCCGATGAATGTTAGCCAGCCATGCCGTACGTGTAAACATGGCGGGGTTCTTAATATTTCATCTTCATCGTGTATCTGTGATCTGCATCATTCAGGAGAGTGTTGTCAGGGTAAGATTTAACTGAAGTAGATCCATTGAAGAAGCATTGAAATGTACATATAATATTTCTGTTCACATAAACTTATAGGTGTCTTAAAATAGGCTATAAATTAAGTTAGAAACTTTAAAAAGACGTCCTATATTTATTAATTAACTGTGTTTATTGTTGATTATATTACACGTGCAACAACTGATTATAATTTGGTTCATCCAAGTTACAAAATTTCAAGGAGGATTTAACTAGGATTTTTCGAAAAGTCTATGAACAACTGTTATTTTTTTTTTACTTGACGTCATTTTATATCCACACTTGGTACATGCAGAAATATTTCAACAAATACTTCAAATGACATGTGTAACACATAAAATTATTTTAGCATTTCTTTGCACTTAGCGAGAATGGGAATGCAGCGCAGGTCAAATTTTGTAATTTACATCAATTTCTAAATAATGTCTGTAGTCCTCTGTAAAATGGCGCAAAAAGAAAGAAAAATCCTTAACGCTGTAATTAAAAACCGTTACGCTGATTCATATTCCAAATTATAACTTAATATTTTGCTTCGTTAAAAAAACTAATTTCAGAAGATAGGTCATGAATTGAATACTAATTTGGATTACTAATAGATTACTTTCATAATCTTTCAATACAGTTTGTCCTGTCCATATGGGATTGGTATTCCTTTACACTAAATCTCAATTTTATTGTTTCTAAAGGTTCGGAGAATTTTTTGCCCAGTTCACATTTCTTATTGTTCGAAAGGCATTTAAGAATGACCACGGTTATTGTCATCCTTGTCTTTAAAAAAGAGAATGATGTTTGAAAAGATTGCAAATCAAAAGCATTTTTTCAAGCTTTGAAAAATTACGAATTAAAAAGTTTCCTTCAAGCTTTGATAAAGTTACAAATCAAAAAGGATTTCCTTCACGCTTAAGCTTTTTGAAGGCATTTGATGATTTAATTTCTTATGGATACCAGATATGATGCCGAAATTTTAACCTCCCGATGATTAATTGAAACCAAGAGAAAATGTTACGCCAATAGAGGAAAAATCTGGAAGTTAAGATGAATTAATTCAAAGATGTTTTAATGAAAATTAAACCTATGGAGATAACATATGGGGATATTTAAGATCAAAAACACACAAAACAATACAAAATAGGAGCAAAGCAAACAAGGTCCTTCAAATCCTCAGAGGTGGGATCAGGTGCCATGGAGGAGCAAGCATCCCCTACCGATCGGTCACACCCGCCGTGTGCTCCTTGTCATGATCGGAAAATAAATGGAAAACATGCTTCAAAAATCTTTGTCCTCTTGTTAGGGCAGATATAAATCAAAATATATGCAATTTTTAAATATCTTTTATAAAATATTGACAAGTACTTTAAATACTTTGAAGATGCTGACTGACTTTTTTCATTCTGATTGTAAGGCCATCATTTATACAATGAGTTGTCCCCGGAATTTTCTGATCATTAGAAGGAGAACACGGCGTGTGTGACCGGTCAAGGCCATCATTTATACAATGAGTTGTCCCCGGAATTTTCACGTTATTTCCTGATCATTAGAAGGAGAACACGGCGTGTGTGACCGGTCAATAAGGGATGCTCACTCCTACATGGCACCTGTTCCCACTTCTGATGTTTTGCAGGATCATGTTTGCTCTGTTCCTATTCCTTCTTATCTTATTCCTTATGATAAATTCGTATAAACCGAGGTCCTGTGCCACAGTCGTTGATGGCGAAAGGTTCCTTAACTGTCCCTCCATTGGAAAGTAGTGTCGCCTGATATAAATATGAGTGTAAAATTCTCGACGGAACGTTAAACAGCAAGAAAAATAGTGAAACAAAAAGGAAATGCATATTAAACCCAAGATAAAGGGGAAAAACATTGAACCATTTAAGTTCTTTTTTACATGTTGTTTTTTCAACATAATTGAGTTTTTCATTATTATCATTTAATTTCTACATGTATATGGAATCTCACAATGCTATTAATAGCGTACAGGTATAATGTGCATCACATAGGTGATAACTTCAATTTAAATTATGTCAATCATTTCCTTATATCTCTTTTAATATAGTTACTCATTAATCTGCAAGCCATTCAGATAAAACTCTCTTCATAAAACAGTTTTGACATCGATAAGTTTCTTGACGTAGGTTTAAATTTTTGTGTGGTTTATGTTTAAAAATACCTGGGTATAACTATATCAGTATTCACCTTAACAAGCAATTACCACACGGCGACTGGCTTCTCACTGAGAACTTGATCTAACACAAACACCGCAATAATCTAGATTATTGATGTACAGGACAGGCGTGCTTTATCTGAAGCAATGAATCTTTTGATACCTTTATTTCTGTAATTTAAGATTAAAAATTCTTTTATTATTCTGTACTCTTAAATGAAAAAGAAATAACTTCATTTTACCTTTCAGAATAATTCTTTTACTCAAAATGTTAAAACAAATAGACTGAAACTTTGTTTTTTTCCGATTAGTATGTATAATATCAAGTTATAAACTTTGAATTTACCGGTCGGGAATAAAATTTAGAACAAGATAGTTTCTAAATGTAATTATAACTTTTCATTTACAATTATACTTAAAAGTCGCTGGGTTTTCTGTCTTATGTAGTAAACCATAAATAAAAGTATATTCTGTCAATATACATCATTTTATGTACTGGCACATTGTAAAAAATGGAATATGCTATTCAAAACATCTCTTTCATACAATCAACAATTTTTAAATTTTAAAAACTACTTAAAATAGGTTCATTTTAATGAGATCTTGTGTCAAATATTAAGGGTTGTAGATTTGATGCTATATTTCTATTTTATTGAGAGATACGGTGTCATTTTTTATCTTATTGATTATAGATCTGGTGACATACATGTATTTGTTGTTTATTGATAAAGACCTGTTACATCTTACTATTATTTGGAACATACATGTATCTGTATTTTGCTGATAATGAATCTTGTGAAATATCGATATATTACTGATTATAGACTTAGCGACATAACTGTATTTTACTGAATATAAATCTAATGACATGCGAGTATTTTACTGATATTCATAAAACATATTTGCAACTAAGTTCCTTGACCTTTTTGTACGTTTTCAGTCATCTTTCAGTTAAGTGATTGGTAAAGGAAGATAACGAACAGTATTAATGCTCATAATTCTATAAAACAATAAAAAAAAAATAGGAGCACAGCAAACACGGTCATCCTTTGTATAGACCTGCTAACGTGCCTTTCTGTTAACTAATCGTAACTAATTATGTGGCATGTTGTATTCTTCTAATTGTAGATTTGGTGACGTACCTGTGTTTTTATTGTATATCAGGTGACGTCGTATTTTTCTAATTGTAGATTTGGTGACGTGCCAGGATCATCCCTGTAAACATGGAACCTGTTCCGACACTAATGCCACTTTTGTCTGTAACTGTGACAGGGGATACAAAGGAGTGGACTGCAACACACGTAATTATCAACAGTTTTTGTCTTGTTTGAAAAGTCGGTACACTGTGGTTCAATTGGGTTCAGAAAGTGCTTTTACTAAATTTTGCAAAATATAAAAAAAATATTTTGAAATTTAAAAAGAAAAATTGTAGAAAGTAATATTTTATTTGAATTCAGGTAAGAAATGTTCCGATGGAGTGACTTGCGATAAGGGAGGAACATGCCGAGACGTCACAAATGGATTTAAATGTCAGTGTCGCAGCAAATATGGCGGCGAATTCTGTCAAAAAGGTATAACATTCTAAGATTTAATATACAAATTCAGCGAGATTTTTTTTTCATTCACGAATGTCTGAAGTGCATATGCTTATAAATGTATGGTTTTAATTGTTTTGAAAATCTTTTCTGAAAATAATTTCCTTTAATTGGAATTCTAACTAACAGTGACTCGTTAATAAAAATCTTTAAGCAAAGAAATATTAGATCATGAAAATTATTACCGATGCAGATTGTGCACTGGCATCCAGATTATAACTAAGAGTGTTTTGTCAAATCTTTTTCGACACTGAATTTATTTTGTTTTGTTGCCACTTAGTTTTATACTGATTATGACAATTTGACCATTTTTCTAATACACAAATTTCGGCTTGAATTTTCATTCTTTTTTATATAAATGATTACATCTGAAATTTAAATTTATGTATAATAGCCTTAACCTGCAGTGACAATCCCTGTAAGAACACAGGATTATGCACAAATCAAGGAGGGAGTTTTACCTGCAAGTGCCCTTATACACACAAAGGAGACACCTGTGAAACAGGTATGATAAGTACGTTTTTAAAATCAATATTAGCGTCAATGAAAAATTTAAATAATATTTTTTTTACATTTCCTTTAAAGTTAAGACATGCGCTGACAACCCCTGCCAGAATGGTGGAGTTTGTACTGATACATCTCCTGGATTTACTTGCGCATGTCCAGCAACTTACAAAGGACTTACTTGTAAAACAGGTGAAAAAATCTAAATTCAAAATATACCTTAAAACTATAAAAGCAATCATTTGTACTTTATATTAAGTGTTTAAAAAGGCTCATTAAAACAATTGTAAGGTTTCTGTTTGGAATTTTATGGATGAAAAGTAAATGATACTGTTCCGTATTTTCAATACAGCTGTTACGTGCAGTGACTCGCCCTGTTTACACGGAGGTACGTGCGCTAACAAAGGAACAAGCTACCAGTGTACATGTCCGAGCATCTACAAAGGACAACGATGTGAAAAAGGTATACATTGTAAAGTATTTTTTTAGTTTATAGTACAGCTTATTATAACTATGCAACCACGAAAAAGGTGAATTATTTTAAAGAAGCGTTGTAAATTGATTTTATTTCGATTTCGATTGCGTATTTGAAACAAAACATCTTACGTGATTAGGCAGTTGTAGAAAGTTTTTTTTTTTGTTTTTTTTTCATTAAATTCAAATACACTTTATTTGGAAGATTGTTTATTTTATTATAAAATGTGTCAAGAAAACAAAAAAGTGAACATGCTCGAAAGAGGGACAGAGCCAAAGCTTATCTCTGAAGGCAGAGGTGGAACAAGTGTCGTGGAGGAGTTCTTAAACATACCTTGTCAGTTGGTCAAACCACGATATGGTCTTAATAATAAGAGAGTACACTGGAACATTTGGTAAAAAAACCTCAGTGTAAATTCCGTATAAAATATATCCTGAACAATTGTTTTGAAAATGTCAATTACTACTGGATTAAATGTAGGACTGTTTTGCAAACAAGGACTTGGAATTTGAAAATTTTATTCAATATAAAAAATTACTTTTATTGAGATTGTAAACATGCTTGTACATTTAACATTCATTTGCAAATTTATTTTGTTAAAACATTCTAATCGTATACACAAGTACTCTTGAGTTGACATCAACAAGATGTTGAGTTTCTGATTGACTATATGTGGATTTTCAAAACATGGTTCTCCAACAATCTATTGGAATTCCATTAGGTACCAATTGCGCCCCATTATTTGCAGACCTATTTTTGTATTCACATAGAGCAGAATTTGTCAAAAATCTTAAAAGTGAACAGAAGGGAAAACTTGCTGTGGTTTTCTAGACCTTTAGATATATCCACGACTTATTGACAATTAAAAAAAGTTATTTCCATTTTTATGTCGATAAGATATATTCCGGTGAGCTTGAGACAAACGATACCAGAGAGTCTGACACATTTGTTGCATATTTGGACATTCAACTTGAAAAAGACGTAAATGCTAATCTAACAATCAAATTTTATGAAAAACAAGCTGAATTTAACTTTTCAATTGTCAAATACCTTTACTTATGCAGCAATATACCTTCATCACCTGCATACGAGGTTTATATACGGTATTTCAGTTGATATGCAAGAGCATACTCTAGATATGTTCAATTTTTAAAACGAGGTAAGTTATTGACAAACAAGTTTATGAAAAAAAGAATATCAGCAGTCTTGTTAAAAGTCAACATTTCGTACGTTCTACTGTCGATACAATGACCTTGCCAGCAATTACAATTTATCATCGAGTCAAATGCTGCCTGACGTTTTTCATACCAATTATTAGTCCATTATTTACACACTGAATTGACGAGAGATTCTTCAACTAGCGTCGGAATTTCATAAATATTATGGATTCTGTTGAAAATTACGCCAGACGATGGGCCAGATATGAAAAAGAAGACGTTGACACCTTGTCAGAATGGATTAAATGTATCAGATCCATGTTAAAGTCACTTATTAAAAGATTGAGGGGAAATATGAAAACCATCTATCCTTCTGTGTTCAGTAAACCAGAAGTGAAAAAAGAATTAGATATATTACACGATCAGTACGTACTGGTTCCTGCCGACAAAGCAGGTAACAACATTGTTTTCGTTTGTAAGGCTCATTATATGAATTGCATTCTAGAAGAACTTGGAATTAATTCTACAAGTGGTAATCCTACTTGTACTCATACTTCCCTTCCAAAGGAAGAAATTCTTCAAAATCACCTGACAGTTTTGAATACTTTTAATATTCCACAGAGCCAAAATGAATTTGAACTACCTTATACATATTGGATTCCGAAACTTCATAAGAATCCTTACAAACAAAGATACATTGCAGGTTCCAGTAAATGTTCAACCAAGCCTCTTTCGTTACTCCTCACTAAGATATTGACAGTAGTGAAGGAGAAACTTCAAGAGTACTGTGCAACTATATTTTCAAGAAGTGGTGTGAATCAGATGTGGATACTCAAAAATTCTAAAGAACTTTTGGACAATTTGAAATCACAAGACTTTACAAAAATCAACAGCTTAAAAACTTACGACTTTTCAACATTATACACAACAATTCCCCACGACAAATTAAAATCCAGGCTTTTTGATATCATTGACAGCTGCTTCTTCCATAAAAATTGAACTCGTAAATTTACTTACCTCGTCATTGGTCATTTGAAAAATTATTTTGTTAAAACAGATTCTGATTGCACACATAAGTACTCTGAATTTGACATCAAGAAGATGCTTGAGTTTCTGATTGACAATATCTATGTGGTTTATGGAGACCAGGTATTCCAACAATCTATTGGAATTCCCCGGGTACAAATTGCGTTCCGTTATTAGCAGACTTATTTTTATATTCATATGAAGCAGAATTTATGCAAAATCTTATACGTGAAAAGAAGAAAACACTTGCTGTGGCCTTCAACTCAGTTTTAATATATCGACGACACATTGTCAATTAACAATGGTAATTTCCATTCCTATGTCGATACGATATATCCTGGTGAGCTTGAGAAAAAGGATGCCACATCTGTTTCATACTTAGATATTTTACATGAAAAAGACGTTAATGATAATCTAACAACCAAACTCTATGATAAACGTGATGACTTTAACTTTTCTATCGTCAACTTCCCTTATTTATGCAGCAATATACCTTCATCACCTGCATAAGGCGTATACATATCTCAGTTGATTCGATACGCAAGAGCATGCTCTACGTATGAACAATTTCTACAACGAGGTAAATTATTGACAAACAAGTTGATGAAACAAGAATATCAGCAGTCTCGTTTAAAGTCATCATTTCGAAAGTTCTATGGTCGATACAATGACCTTGTCAGCAAATACAGTTTATCATTAAGTCAAATGCTGACTGACGTTTTTCATACCAATTGTTAGTCCATTATTTATACACTGAATTGACGAAGGATTTTTTCCGTTATTTCCTGATTATGACAAGGAGCACACGGCGGGTGTGACCGGTCGGCAGGGGATGCTCACTCCTCCATGGCACCTGATCCCATCTCTGATGTTTCGGGGGTCCGTGTTTGCTTTGCTCTTATTTTGTATTGTTTTATGGACTTTGAGACTGAATACTGTTCGTTATCTCCATATCCTTCATTCTCTCTGTTATGTCCTAATCATGACAAGGAGCACACGGCGGGTGTGACAGGTGGGCAGGAGATGCTCACTCCTCCATGGCACGTGATCCAACCTCTTATGTTTCAGAGGTCCGTGTTATCTCTCCTCCTATTTTCGTTTTTTTATGGACTTTTGAGCTTGAAAATTGTTCGGTATCTCAAAATGTTTCATTTAAAAGATATGAAAAACTTTAATCAGTTGTAAGGTATCTTTGGCATTCTAAAGATTACAAAAATCTTTCATTTCAAAATACATTTCTACAATACAGTTGTTACCTGCAGTGATACGCCCTGTTTACACGGAGGAACGTGTGTTCCCAAAGGAACAAGCTTCCAGTGTACATGTCCGAGTATCTACAAAGGACAAAGATGTGAAATAGGTATACACTGCAAAGTATTATTTCTGTTTCTACAACATGGCTACTCGAAAAATGCTTATCTCCTTGTAATTACATATAAATTAGGTAATTTTCATATTTTGGGATTGTATCAATCTTAAAATTTAAACATCCGTTGACATAAATAAGGCATGCCTTGTAATTAAAAGCAATTAATTTGTACTACATATATTGCTTACCGTTTACAATGTAAACGTCATACTTGATTGCTTCTGCATTTCAGTGAAGACTTGTGCAGATTCGCCTTGTAAAAATAGTGGCCATTGTATGAATAAAAATCCTACTGCATTTACATGCACATGCCCAGACACCCATAAAGGAATTATTTGTCAAACAGGTAAAATAACTTGGACATATTTCAATCAGGACTGACGCTCTAATATTCTTTTGAATAAAAAAAATTAATCAGATGCTATTGAATTACCTTTTTTCTAATTGGGAATATATAATATCTTTACTATTATATATATTAAAATACAGATATATATATTTTTTATCATATATATGGGGCATGTTTATAATTAAATATCTTTTTACTATAGTAATTAAATGTGTTGATACTCCTTGTGTACACGGATCATGTACCGATACCGGTTCAGGATTTACCTGTTCATGTGATCCAAAATTCACTGGAATTCTGTGTAACAAACGTAAGTCTTTTCTTCTGATGCTCTCACATGTTGCCCTTTTGTTCTGCTGCAATTACATTTCACATTAATCATAAACATCTTTCAATATTGTTGCGATGGGCTAATCTGATGACAAAAATTGTTCCTAGCTTCACATGAAACTGTGCCCTAAAACAGTAAAACAATCAAACAAAAAAAATAGAAAACCAAATAATATGTGACGTTGGGATATATTACGAGTGCATCTGTGTTTAATTCTGCTTTCAGCAATCCAGTGTTCGCCAAACCCCTGCCTTCATGGCACTTGCTCCACCTCACCATCAGGCTATAACTGTCATTGTGATGAGAAATATACTGGGGAAAAGTGTGATACACGTTAGTAATTATTTTTACTGAGCATACTATAACTGTCATTGTGTTGAGAAATACAAGTATATAGGGAAAATGTGATACACGTGAGTGATTATTCATCTTTACTGACCATAGGATATCACTATGGACACTTTTTCATATATCGGATATTTCCTAAATAAGATGTTAACTTATAATTATTAAGCATTATAAGATTAAAAAAATCACAATTCGGCAATGGAATTTAAGCTCCGTTTGAATGCAATGGAAAGAAACGAATTTATGCTCAAAAGTCAATTAAACAATACAAATTATGAGCAAATTAAATAAAAATTAATATCTTACGTCTTTTTCAGCAATACTTTGTTCCTCTTTGCCTTGTCAACATGGTACCTGTACGGACACACCTACAGGGTACAAATGCACATGTGACGTCAAATATACCGGCTCAAAATGCGATACATGTAAGTTAATTTCACGGAAAATAAGTTTGTAGAGCAATGGTTGCTTTCAAAGCGAATTTATCTTTTTATTTTATATGAGTAAAGTGTATCTTTATCAGTGATTTTATTTCCAATAACTGATTTCATGTGCACCCGACCCTTAGTTCGTGACTCCAGTGTACAGCTCTATAAGTTATCCTCAATGTTCTGATGTCAAATTGTATGCATCAATATAATCTGGTTTTTATCCTCCAATTTTGCCAATTAATTTTACAACAAATATATTTTCTGTTGAACCACAGTTAACCGTATTTATTTCTCATTTGTATAAAACAAATACATTTAGTGATCCAAAAGACATTAATATTAATTTTTATTTTTCAAAAATGATAATAAAGGTATTAATTAAACTTCAACTTTTCAACTGTTTCCTCTCCTCACTTGCGTAACAACATACAGAATTTTTGTCTCCCGGTTCATTTGATGCGAAAAAAAACATACTTCATGGTAATCTAACAACAAAGCTCTATGATAAACGTGATGGCTTTCACTTTTCTCTCGTTAACTTCCCTTACTTTTGCAGCAATAAAGCAGCAATAAACCTTCATCACCTGCATACAAAGTTTATATCTTTAATTAAGTTGATTCGACTTGCAAGAGCATGATCTACGTATGAACAATTTCTAAAACAAGGTAAATTATTGACAAGCAAGCTGATGAAACAGGAAATTCAGCTGTCTCGTTCAAAGTCATCATTTCGTGAGTTCTATGGTCGATACAATGACCTGGTCAGCAAATACAATTTATCATTGAGTCAAATGCTGAGCGATGTTTTTCACACTAATTGTTAGTCGATTATTTATACACTGAATAGAGGACGGATTTTACGTTGTTTCCAGATCAAAACAAGTGGGTCACGGCGGGTGTGACCGGTCGGCAGGGGATGCTCACTCCTCCATGGCACCTGATCCCACCTCTGATGTTTCGGAGGTCTGTGTTTACTCTTCTACTATTTTGTACTATTTAATGGACTTTTGATTATGAAAACTGTTCGTTATCTCGATATGTTTCACGCTAAAACGAGACAGGTTATTAACAAACGACTTGATGGAAAATGATATCAACTGATTCAGTTTATGTCATGAATTTGCCTATTCTATGGTCGATACAGTGAAGTTGTCAGTAAGCGCAATCTGTCATTAAGTCGAACTATGACGAAAGTCTTTCATACTAGGAAGACTGATATTTATACTCATAACTGTCCATGGTTTTTTTTCCTTTGCCCGATCATGACAGAGAAAACACGGCAGGTAAGACAGGTAGACAGGGGATGCCTACATGTCCATGGCGTCTGATCCTATCTCTAATGTTTACGAGGCCCGTGGTTTCTCTGCTGCAGATTTGTATTGTTCCACTGTACTGTTTTGGGTTTAAATACTGTTCGGTATTTCCATATCTTATGTTAACGAAATTAATAGGTTTATAATAATAAGACGATTTTTTAATGCTAAGCTCAAATGAGGTTTATGAAATCCTTATAATATTACCTTACACATGTGCGGCAATGGTCACATTTTTTTCTTAGTTTGTTCCAATTTTAACACCATTTCCTTCAGTGGTCATTGTATGGATCAGAGAATGATGTTTTGAGTGTATGCTAGGAACTTTAAAAAGAATATTTTATATTTTAATGTATGTAAAAAGATCTATCAATATTACATACTTATTTTATACAGTAAGAACATGCACATCCTCTCCCTGTTTACACGGGACTTGTACTGATTCCGCGTCTGGGTTTGTCTGTTCTTGTGATGAGTCGTACACTGGAGTTACGTGTGAAACATGTAAGAGTAACATCTGAATCGATAAGTATAGTATATAATGAAGACTCATAACATATACAAAAAAGATAATATACATGTATTATATCCCAGAAAAGCATAATCATGTAAGCAAACTTAATTTTTTAAGAGAATAGTGATTTTGTCGTTTTTTATACGAGCTACCTATTATACTTTTAAGGGGAGCAACGTGCAAGAAGTAGCGGTATTCATTTCAGTTTTAAAAGGACATTTTTAAAATTGCTTTATATAAGATTACATTTTTTAAAATTTTTCATAATTTTACTTATAATGAACCCGGATCGGCGGCTTTGTGTCTATACTTTTTACTCTTCATAAACATTAAACTTTAGTGTTGACCACAGACGAAGCATCTGAAATTCTTCTTCCCAAATGGCTGCCATATTTAGAATATGCCGTTTTGTCAATGACGTCCCTCGTTGGTCTGATGGTGGCTGGATGTGTCTGTTTAAAGTGTTGTCAGGCGTGTGGGGTCATCGATAACAAGGACGACGATGACGACGATAAAGAAGAAGAAGAGGAATATCTGAAGAAGTACAGAAGGGATTCTGTATTTCCACTTACACCGCAAAAGTCTGGAGTAGTTAATAAAAGTGGTGGATTGAATTTCTAAGCCTTAATTATTAACTACCTTGAAAGTGCCTTAAAGAATGATTTTTTACACATTTATCAGCTCTTTGTATTATTTTTGCTGTTGCTTAAAAAACAATGATATCAAAAATCTAGCTGAATTTACATTCAAGTAGACAAAATGAATTGCCAACTTTGTTCGTTTATATATCTTTATTTTTTCTTCAATGCAAAGTTTGAATTTGTTTTCCTCTCTGTTCCTTTCTCTCAATTAATAATTATCGAATAAATTGACTGAAAGTATACCTTTTAATGCCATTTTTAATTTTACTGAGAACCAAGGCTATATTACTGTATATTTGAATAGATGATTGCCTATCATGTCAAATATATTCTATTTTCATGTAAAATATTACAAATCTTTTCTGCATCTTCTGCGATCGATCTGGGATCACGCTTTCCATATTGCATCCGATGGGCCGGTCACAGCTTCCCGTTGTTCGATTCGAAATGAGTCAAATACCTTTTTCCGCTGCGCTAGAGCAAACAGCGGCATGCATGACCACTAAGTGTTGAGTTATAGAATTAAACAGTATTAAACGTGTTATATTTTTTGGAAAGCATGATTACATGAATTGTAATAAATACTATATTTAATGGCTCTTTTTTTCCTCCACTTTCCAAGGCAGGGATAAATACATGTAACACACTAATAATTTAATGAAATACGACGATAATGACCAGAAATAATATACAATCATGCATTTTTATACAAAAAATATGGATCTATGTAGCACCTTCATTATTTTAATTTTAAAAATAATTATTTTAAGATTTCTTACTCGAGTAGTATAAAATATACTATGTTAAACATTTTTGTATTGAATACATTTAACCTTGTTATGAGTATAAAATTGAATATGGGTTGGCAGATGAAATATTATTAGTTTATCTCAATTAACGTTGAAGTAACCGACAACTTTATTTCTTCGTCTTGAATGAATTATAAATACTTCAAAATATGAATTATCTTTTAAAACATTTCTCCCCAGAATTTGTCTCTTTCATGTGCGGATGTACAGGGGGTCCGGGGGGCGTACCCTCGCCCCCCCCCCCCCCCCCCCCCGGAATTTTCAAATTTGTTTAATCGCACATACTTAACTAAGTGAAGGTAACCTTGGGCCACCCTTAAAAAGTAGACCCATCCTGAAAAAAACAGTCATTTATAGATTTATAGGTATATAAAGCTTAAAAACCACCACCACGAAAAAGATATTTTTACGTTTAGGGAAAGGAGTTTATTTGCTTGTCAAGAAAGGTGTGGGTTGGAATATAATATTTGACTTGGATGGTAGTCTCGTTCAACCAGACGCTCGGCTGTCTCCGTAAACTCCGACCAGCAGAGTCTGGTAAAGAATCACGTTAGCGTTTGTAACCGTCAGAGGGCGCTATCTTGTTTACATTTTGACGATCCTTTTTGAAAACGAATGTTATATGTGTTTCTTCTTCTGGATCGTGACTTTATATTAATAAACTAATCTTTAATTTGGGACACCAAGCGAAAAATTACAATTTCAATCGAAGGAATGTGTATTACGCAGGTAGGGCTACACTACTTTCACTTTTGCTTTCGTACAGAATATTTGCAAGACATAATAAAACGCACTTACCTATAACTAGTGGGCATTACCGTAAACAATTCCTATCTAACAGCTTTAACTTTAGTCCTTTAACTTTTACATCTTTAAGTTATTTTTCTGTTGACTTATCATGTATTTATTTAAATCGTGTAGGTGTGTTCTTTTCAGCCAATCAAAAACTTTACCAGAATTTCGGTAAGCCTCGTTTTGGTGTTACAAACGATATTACGTATCTTTACCAGACCCTCTGGCTGGTCGGAGATTTACGGAGACAGCCGAGGGTCTGGTTGAACGAGACTACTTGGATGGATCCCCCCCCCCCCCCCCTCGTTAAAAATTTTTTGGATCCGAGTCAGGGTATTAACCGATAACATATTTGAGACAGTCTAGGGCTGGGTATTGGCCCGAGATTTCGTATTGCGATATATTGCGATATTTTTAACTGTATTGCGATATGTATTGCAATATTTTCAATGTAATTTAAATGGCATTTTCTTACTATATTTACTTTAATTTACATGCAGAATGTAAATAACTATGATAAGTAACCAACATGGAAAAAAAAATCTTGTTTATTTCATTTAAGTGATGCTCTGAAATGTTCCCACAAAACGACTTCTGTCTTGCTGTTTGGCTTAATAACAAACTTTTATAAGTCCATTTTTATATTTAATGACAAAATTCCTTAATCTAAGCATATTGCCAATATATCGATATTACAAAATCGTATTGCGATACGATATTTTTTGTCATTGTATTGCAATATATTGAAATATCGATATTATTGCCCAGCCCTATGAGACACACTAATGTCTTGCATAAGATGACCTTGCCGAAAACTTTAAATGAACGACAATGTTACGAAACAAGTGTTTTCAGATAGGACTTAAATGCCAAGCTATTAAATACCTTTTATTTTAAGGAGCCGACTGGGTTTTTATTGTGTGAAAACTACAATAGCGAATCTCTTCATTTTTATACCATATTTAACGTACATTAACTTCAGCGTACATGCCAACTTTGGAGAAAATCTACCGTCCAGGTATCCTAAAGGAACCGTCTCAAAATACTGGTAAATTTACTTTAGGATTATATAGGAAAGTGCCACTTTTTAGCACTTTAAAGCATATTATACAAATACTACAATAGAGTTAAAACTATAATAAATGATGAGTAATACTATATTGTACATTATATGTAAGAAACACAAAATTTCACTGTCTTGTTACCAGAGCGGGCATCTCAAAAAAATAACGAATTTTCCTGTTTTTATAGAGTACTACAAAATTTAACGGGCACAAGATATTTCTATGAAAACATAATAAAAATATTGGAGATATTCTTAAATTTCTATGTTTTAAATTTCAAGAGCGTACGTTTATTACTATTTCTTTAATAAGATTTTTATTACCCATTTCGTAAGAGCTTCAGTTTATTATAACGTCAAAAACACACTATAACGACGTCAACCTAACTATCAATGGTTTACGCCATGACCGTTCCCGGTTTTAAATTTTAGTCACGGTTTATGGGGGATAATACAAACGCTTGATCAGTAAAGCGCTTGACGTAAACAATGGTGAAATATTGTTGCGTTCCACTTTGCGGGCGTTTTGGAGGACACAGATTTCCCGCAGAACCAGATTTAAGATTAAAATGGAGAGTTGCAATAAAGAGGATGGACCAGAAGACAAAAAATCTATGGAATCCTGGAAAGGAAGACATTGTGTGCCATGCACACTTTACCGATCACGACTACAAAGATACAGAATCAGGTTAGCATCTCTAGACTCGTTGAATTTAGGCTATATGATTTATCATTTATCGTTTAATTCGAATTCTGGTTTAGTAATTTAAAAGTTACGGTTGTTTAATAATTTTGTATTCGTTTGTAATTTGTTTTCTTCCTTTAGAATACGTTGCTTTGTGGTTTCTTTTACTTCTGTTTCAGGTGTAAACACTAAAGTTTGGTATGTATTCATTCAAGATTATCTGGTTTATACATTAAATACAAGAGAAATGAAACTATATTATTGTCATGGAAACTTTTAGAAATGTAAATTTATCAGTGCCTCCATTATTAACTACAATTATACTATTATAATAATATGCAAACATTGAATTATTATTGGCACTGCCAGGTTTAATGCCTTTTGAATTTTATCCTTCGTTTGTAAGGTCTTTGAAATTCATGTATCTTAAAGAAATACACATCTGTGACAGGTGAGCGAAGTCGACTTAAACATGGTGCTGTCCCTTCTGTGTTTGATTTTAAGAGCACTGGTACCCAAACTTTCCAAGAGACAGAAAGATCAAAACGGATGAGGCTGCGAGCCAATATTCAACAGACTGCTCAAGACACTCATTTTTCCACAGAGGTACAGATGGATGAAATGGCTGTACATGAAGTCGTCTTGGAAGCGGCATCTTCTAGTGCCTCATCTGAGCCAAAGCATGAACGAGCAGAGTGTGCAACAGCTGAAAAGGAAGTTCAGTGTGACATTCCTACACTGGGTAAATTTTCAATTGAAGGAATGAAGCTCGACAGCAAGATGATTTCATATTACACTGGCTTAAATGGTTATGATCATTTCATGCTCATCTTTAACATTCTAGGACCAGCAGCTTTTGATTTGAATTACAAATGTGCTTTGTTAAGCCCACAAGACCAGTTTTTTTTAACTTTGATTAAACTCCGACAAGCAAAAGAAGATGTGGAGCTTGCTATGCTTTTTAAGGTTTGTGAATCAACTGTGTCAAAGATTATAACAACTTGGATCAATTTTTTGTACTTTCAATTTAAGGAGCTAGAAGAACAATTCTAGCCCTCAAAAGATATCATTAAGGAACACATGCCAACCGATTTTGCAAAAAAGTTTCCCAATACGCGCATCATCTTGGATGCAACAGAACAACCGATCCACAAACCCTCAAATCTTGAAGCTCATTCCAAAACATGGTCTTCCTATAAGCACAAAAACACCCTTAAAACCATGGTTGGTATAACTCCTAATGGAGCAGTATCTTACATATCTCCTGCTTATGGGGGATCTGCATCAGACCGACAAATTATTGAAAGGTCTACCTTATTAAATCAAGATAAATTTGATTCTCGTGACAGCATAATGGCAGACCGTGGAATATTAGTTCAAGATTTATTTGCAAATCAAAATATTTCTGTTAACACCCCTACTCTTCTCAAAGGTAAAAGTCAGCTTAGCCCGGAAGACATAGTAAGAGACAGAAGAGTTGCTTCTAAACGCATCCATGTTGAGAGGGTCATTGGTCTTGCCAAGAGGTTTAAAATTTTGAAACATGAGCTACCAATGTCTAAAGTTCCCTTAGCTTCCAGAATTGTGTACATCTGTTTTATTTTGTCCAATTTCAGAAATTGTATTGTTGATAAAAGTGCCTGATCTAGACAATATTGAGTATACAGTAAAACACTCTTATAGTGACAGGAACATACAATTTTACTTTTTTGAAAGTAATTTGGTATATCTGTAAAGTTAATGATATTTTTAAACCCATAGAAAATTAATAGACTTTGCTGCAGCAGATATATGTGAGAAATTTGTCTTGTGCATCAAATTAATCTCAGGAGAGATTTTTTCAGCATATTTCAACATAACATTGTCAAGTATTTTCAAAATTTTCATATTTCTTACATTTTGTGTGTTTTTGGACAAATAAAAAAAGAAAAACCAAACTTGTTTGAAAATATTTTTTATGCAACAAAAATATTTTTTTTACTCAAAAGTGTGCTATTAACAAAAAAAAAATCCTAACATTTTACATGTACATGTAGATGTTGTTTTTGAAAATAATCAGGAAGCTTTTAACATTCTTTGACACCCCAGCATATTATACATTGAATTTTCTGTATTTCGCAAAAAATTGTGAAATTCTACAGGGTACAATACCATAAATATCCAGTAGCTACATAAGGAATATATGTATGGCAGAAAATCTTTCAGGTACAATAGGCTAGCATAAAATTCAAGTAGCTACTTAAAGAATAAATGTATGGCAGATGTGTGCCAGTATAACAAATATTGCATCAGTTTAATTTACAATGAAGATGACAAAAAAGGCCGAAAGTGCTGTACATAAAACAACTCTAACTTTGGCAACAGTGATCCTTCACAATATTCTTGGTCAAATTCAATTTTCTGCACAAATACATCCTTAAAAGTATAAACTACAAAATAACAGTATTTTCTCTTTGAAATATACAGCTGACCTTGTATTTGGAAGTAATACTTCGAATGATGTTTTAAAACAATCTGACCCTTAGTATTAAATTCAAGGAAACTAAAATGCTTTCCAGGAAAAATCTTTTCATTTCTACCACTGTATGGACACTTGACCTCAATCAGAGAATCCTCTGATATTAATCCATCAGGTGAAGCACCTAAATAAGGCTTTTGTACACAGACAAAAAAACCACAGCACTTTACTTTTAAACCAGAATCGGTTTCAAACCGACGTATCGCTTTAGTTTCATATACTCTACCATGTGAGGTAGCCTCGTTACGGAAAGAAACTGCTGAATTCACAAGTGATTGGCATAATTTGGTCTTATTTCTCCTCTGTGTAGCCAAACAAATGTCCCCAAATCTAGAGGAGGTCAGCCGCCATTTACGTTCCTCAAACCAAGACTTCGAAGATGACTGGCCTCTTGTTTTCTCTTCAATTGCAGCAGCTTCCCTTTCCGTAACCTATTGAACCATAAACAAAATGTTTCAGACAAAGTTAAATTTTCTTTTGAAAAAGTGCAATATTGGATTTAAAAAATTGGGTGTATGATAAAACTTAAAACTTCATTAAAATAAATCAATGACATTTTGGGGATGTGTAAATGACTTACTTGTAGAGCACAGTCTATCCAGTACTCAGTGATAGGCTTTTCAAGATAATCGTGATCCAATGTAGCTGTCTATCCAATAAAAACAATGTACATTTGATATCAAAACATCTTATTAATAATTTTTTTTTTAAGTTTAACATTTTAAAGAACTAATAATATGTATATTAAATAAAAAACAAAATAGATTGTATTTACATGTACCTGCATATCTGCCTTAGAATGTAGATATCGATAGGTAAGATTTTCTGATGTCATGGAACAGTAGTTAAACACGAGGTTTCTGGTCCTATCTGGAAATCCAGCATTGTTCCTGTATTTAACAGGTCTGGGGTCTGCAAATATATCCTCAGTCAGCCCTCTTTTCATTGGCAGCTCCTCAGCTTTCACTGGTGAACCTGCAGTGATAGATGTACTTTTTCATATGGAATTTCACTGATTGGACAAGTATTTAATTTTGAGGGGCAAAAGAAAAGAACTCACTGATTTCATACATTGTTCATTATTTAGACTTTTCCACTACACATTGGATTTTAAACTTAATATTTTTAATGTGGATAAAAAAAGAATGACAGTACACTTTTTAACATATTGTCATCCAATTTATGACATTCTTGTAAAGCATTGCTTAATGTACTTCAATTAATACTTACCATTGTAACTGTACCGAGGTTTATGAAAGACTTGCAAGTTTTCAGTACAGGACTTTTCAATGTACATCTCGTCTCCTGACACAAACTTTGAGAGCATGAGAGCAACTGCTGCAACATGTTTACACGTACCATGAGGTCCACGGCCAGCAGGGCACTCGCAGTGTGAGTTAAGGATATCACCAGTCACTTTATCAAGTTTTAACTTGAAAGTGTAAGATACCTGGTAATGTAGATTATATAACAAGTGTTACCTGGTATATGTGTGTACATTGTGGTCTTGAAAACATTTTTTGTGATTTGGAGGAATTTAAATTGACTTTGACTATATAAAGTAAATTGTATAGTTTGCAAAGATATCAGTAGTTCTTTTGGTAATTATTAACTTCTTCAAATTCAACATTTTACCTTATTTTTCATGGATGCTCCAACAATACCGGACAGGTACATATCACCATCTTCAAACAGAAAGGAAACTGCTTGAATTCGCCTACTTTCCACCAGGTTTCGGCCTTTCTCAATCGCCTTTACATCCCCAGAACATTGTTTGTCACCTGTGTAACAATCACTTACTAATTGAATCATTTTGTAAATTTTTAAGATACATGTATAAATAGATCAAATGATGTTAATATTCTGCAGGTCCAGGAAAATCACTATATTTAGCTATATAGGTAAATCTACCTATATAGCTTTATTTACCTATATAATATAGCTATATTTAGCTATTTCGGAGTAAATTTCTGTTTTATGAAAAGCAGACAAAAAGTCGCATAATGAGGCAGTAGTAGTTTTCAACTTTGAAATGGACTGAAAACAATTCACCAAAAACCCACTTACAAAAATGTTTCTCCTTTTGGGCAATTGCAATCAAAGATCTAAAAGTTTTGGGGCTATGTATAACAGTTAATCTATGGGTAAGCAGCTACTTTAACAAAGAAAAGCAGTTTTGGTCAACAAGATAATTGATTGGTAATAATTGAGCACAATGCAAGGCAATCACACTTAGTCATGCCTCACCGCACTTCCAGCTATCCAAACAATAGAAATGTATTTTTTGGGTAAAAAGTGTTTATAAGAGGCAATGTTTTTACTATCTATGCCCTAGGTTGTTTTTATCAAACCTTTTAAAAAATATATCAGCTATTCTTTTACATGTGACTTTTTGTCTGCTTTTCATAAAACAGAAACTCATTCCAAAATAGCTAATTTTAGCTAACGTATATTTTATAGGTAAATAAAGCTATCTAGGTAGATTTATGTATATATAGCTAGATATAGTGATTTTCCTGGACCTGTTCTGAGTTATTACTAATAATTACTATTAAACATCTAAATTAATTTATTAAATAAATTACCGGCCAATCTGTGTACAAAATACAGATCAATTTGTTCCAAACAAAGTTGTGGAATAATCTTTCTGTGGATCTCTGTGAGTTGTTGGAATCCTTTTGAAGGCCATGAAACTTCCAACGGTGTTGGTAACAAGATAGGTTCACTTTCAAAATTTCTGTTTCTCTCGTATGCTCTTAACCTAGTTTAAGATATAAGCACTTCATTTAATAAATAACGCATTTTCATTTACATCAAAAACGATAACTGTAGGTTCAAGGTTGGACTAAACTTGATATGTTTATAATTTAATTTTTATTGACAACGCAACTTAATAAATGTTTTCATGAGTGATTCGCGATACATATAAATAATTACTGTATGTCCTGTACCTCTCTATTAAGTCTGCCTTTCTGCCTTTCGTCGTTGCTCCTCTGGATATAAGTTCTTTTTTTAATTTCTCTACAGTCCATGATTCTATTGCCTTGTTAAAGTCAAAATCGGCGCCTTTGCAAGAATCCATTTCCAAGCGTTTGAAAGATAAAGCGTTTGCGTCATACCCCTTATTTAACATAACAGAGAAAACCGAAAACGGCGATGGCGTAAACCATTGCAAAATCGGTTAAAAAATCAGTTATATAAAATTGTAATTACATTTTTAAAGCCGTCATTTCTTAAGTTTGTTTTATTTTGTTAATCAAGTGAAAATAGTTGCTCTAAAACAGTAAGTATGCTTCATTTTACTATGATGCGCGAAATATTGCGCAATGTAAACCAAAGTCGCCCCCCTTAAATATAGAATGGTATTACAGCAGATAGTCGTCCGCATGGCGCATTGGTAAAAGCGTCTATTCTAGAGTTGCAGAGTAAGGAGTTGATACTAACGTCGCAGTTCGAATCCCACTGTGGGACGTGGAGACCGGTCCTTTAAATTTGGATGAGACTGTATTAACAGAGATCTCGTGTCGCAGTAGATGCTGGAACGAAAAAGATCTCTCACTGTTCAATGGCTCAGTGCAGAGCATATAGGTCAAAATTTGAAGGTCTTCACGGGCAAATGGTGGAGTTTCAATTTGGGTGAAAAATTCTCGAGATAGACCTTTAACAACAATCAAAAGAATTATTATAGCAGATAGACAAATAGTTGTAAGATTTTTTGTCTAAATGTAATGACAAAAATCAAAACTGGGATATCGGTTTATCGTTACACTTGAAGCTAAGCCAGTGTCACACTGTCAGGATTTATACCTACGATTCATTATGAATTCAAAAATCGCAGCAAATCGGGATTTATCGCAAAAGTACTCGAATGATATTTTCCTTACTCATGTTGGATCGCAGCAAATCGCCAAACTTGGCGATTGTTTTGAGGACGTTCAAAACAATCGTGGTCACAGCACGATTTTTAATTATTCATAGACAATCGCACAGCATCCGCACTGCACTCGTACTCATATTCGTAGTAAATCTTCGAAGTTCGTGCGACATTCGCGGAACTTCGTAGTACTCGAGACACTACGAGAGTCCTAGGAGTTATTTCGAGTGTCCTTCGAGTTTGTGCGAGTGT